TTTACAATGATGGGATTAGAAAAAGCTGGTTGAAAATCATTCGCATAGAAATGTTTAGGCCTAACTGACATGTTGAGATATCTTTACTTTTTGTCAAGAACTTTACTGACACAGAAATATCACATGCTGACCGGAAACCCTGGGAATTATCAACGCTTAATGAACTCATGAAAATAAATCAAGAATACCTTGTGAGAAAATGTTTTATAATTTAGTTTTTATGGGAGAAACAGTAATGGGTTTTTGTTTGTTTTGGATTTTTTTTTTTTTTTTGAGGAGAATAGTACTGGGACCTCAGTTCCAACACTTACCAATTCGCTGTACACCTCGGATAATAACCTCCTTTCTGTAGTTATAATTCTTTGTTCTGTGAAATGAGAAACAATAGCGCCTGCCTGCCTCATAATTGTACTGATGATTCTATGAGCTAATATGTGTCCGGTGCTTAGGACTGTGTCTGGCATGTAGCAAGCAAACTACAATAACTATTTATTGAGTATTTTATGTGTGTTAACTGCAGAGAAAGACAATATAGCAGGAATTTGAGACAAGTTACTAACCTTTCTCCTGAGCCTCAGTGTCCTCATCCGTAAAAACTATAGCGATAGTTTCTTCTACCGTCATAGATAGAAGCGTATGGAGATTAAATGCATTAATTCATATGAAGTTCCTAGGACAACACTGCTATTATAGAATGCATTCAGTAAATATTAACCCTGCAGTTCAGATACTTTAGTCATTTAATTGTCACAATGGCCCTGAAAGAAATAAATCAATAAATATTTTTAAGCCGCCCTAGCTGGTTTGGCTCAGTGGATGAGCGGCAGCCTTCGGACTGAGGGTCCCAGGTTCGATTCCAGCCAAGGGCACATGCCTGGGTTGCAGGTTCGATTCCCAGTAGGGGGCGTGTAGGAGGCAGCCGATCAATGATTCTCTCTCATCATTGATGTTTCTATCTCTCTATCCCTCTCCCTTCCTCTCTAAAATCAATAAAAATATATTATAAAAAATATTTTTAAGCCACTGAGAAGGAGGCAGGTTTGAGATATTAGGTAATCTGTTCAAGGTTGCACTGTTAGAATCTGAACTTGGATCTTAGATACAAACATCAGAAATAACTGGCCTGCAGACCCCTATGGCTTTCTTGAATCTCTTTTTAGTTATGAAGATGGTATGTCCCTAATGTTTTGTGATTAATGTAAATATTTAAGTTTAATTCTGTTTTGCCATACTCCTCCTCATAAAAGTCCTAATGAATGTCAGACTTTTATATGTAACTTAAGTAAATTTTAGCATTTGTTTCCAGTCTGGAGGGTTTTAGTTCTTTGTTTTGCAGCTGGGAAAATGTGTATGTCTCATGACATATATGAGAGCTTTACAGATCCAAAAAGCTAATTGAACATATAGGGTGCAGTTCACTTAATGCACATTACATTATTTTTCCAGGAAAAGTTGATTCTGAATTTTCATTTTGTAGTTGATGAAGTAATAGGCTTTGTACAGACTGCTGAAACTATTAATTGCCCTGTAATGTGCCTATGGGCAAAAACAGTTGGAAGGGATACACAGAAATGATAATGATAACCATGTACAGGGTAATGTGTTTTTCTCATTCCCAATTTTTTTTTTACTGCTATTTTTTACTTTAAAATGTATTAAGTGCATTAAAGTACATGTATTAATGTATTATGTGTAATAAATGTATTAAAATGATTCCTGGAGTTAGAAGCACAGAATGGACTAGATTAAGATAATCTATTTCTCTTGTTAGATAGAAGGAAGAGTCTTTTCTGTATGTAATTTTCTCTTCGGGTGTACAATGAAGTGACCCCCTCAGCAAAACTTAAGACATGTCCTCTTTACCTGGGTTCACTGGAAATGACAGGTCTCATTCATCCACAGTTGTTTGGTACAGTATTTATATCTACAAAGAGAAGACAGAGGCAGCGGATGGGAGCTTTCTTCCTTCTCCAGTGTTCTTTAATGCCCTGACATAGTCTTTACCATCAGTAGAGATAATGAACACCTTCAGCTGTGGGTACCTGGTGGATGCTTAATTGCAAAAGAGGGTCTAGAACAGGTGTAGGGAATGTCCCATCCTTGGGTCATATAAGTCCCAGGAAATCATTTGGTCTGGCCCTGCCAAGGCATTAGGGGTGAGTTAAATAAATATTTGACCAAATATAGCAGGCTAATTTTTAAGTTGATAATTTTGTATGGCCCACGAATGATATAAATATCTAAATGTCCCTTGGCAGTAAAAAAGGTTCCCCACCCCTTGTCTAGAAGGTTAATGAAGTGTCCTGTGCTGTGCAGGGTTTCTTTCTCTCTCTCTCTCTCTCTCTCTCTCTCTCTCTCTCTCTCTCTCTCTCTCTCTCTCTCTCTCTCTCATACACACACCCACGTTTCCACTTTCCTCCTGTGAGCACTGGAACGGGGATGCAAGCCAATCAGGGGCCTCCAGAAAGTGCCCTTCATGTCTGTGCTCCAGGAGCAATCTACTGGCTGAACTTGGTATGGCAGCAAACAGTGTTTCCTATTTCTTCTCTTTTAATTTTATTCTTTCTTTATTTTCCCTTCATGTTTATTCTTCTTATTTAATCTTGGGTTTATGATGAGAAACACCAGAATTTACCCATAGGAGTAGCCTGATTTTGGCACATGATTTAGCCAGAGCTGAACTACCTTGTAGAATAATTGTTTCTAGATGCTCAGAACCCACAGGGATTGCTTGAGTAGTGGCACCCATACCTTTCATGAGGTTATCTAGCTTTGATATGCATAGCTGACCCTGCTTTTATTCTCTACACAAGATATTAATGTAAGTCCAAATATAAGTTGAAGTTTCTCCTTAGGAAAAATAGTAGGGAGTGTCCTTAAAAAACCTGGTTTTCCATTAATATTTATTTTGAATAACTTTTTGTTAATGTTTTTTAAATGGACTTTATAGTGCAGTTTTAGGTTCACAGAAAAATTGAATGGAAAGTACAGAGAATGAGTTCCCATATGCCCCCTGCTCCCCTCCCACCATGCACGCCTCCTGCTGACAACATCCCTTACCAGAGTGGTCCATTTGTTACAGTTGATGAACCTCATTGACACATCATTGTCACCCATAGCTTACAGTTTCCATTAGGGTTGTACATCCTGTGGGTTTTGACATGATGACATGTATCCGCCATTGTAGTATCATACAGAATCGTTTCACTGCCCTGGAAAATCCTCAGTGCTCTGCCTATTCATCTTGCCCTCTACCCTCCCCCTGCCCCCAGCCCCAGCAACCACTGATCTTTTTTACTACCTTCAGAGTTTTGCCTTTTCCAGAATGTCACATAGTTAGAAGTATATGGTACGTAGCTTTTTTAGATGGTCTTCTTTTATTTAGTAATATTCATTTAAGTGTCCAGCCTGTTTTTTCACGGCTACCTAGCTCATTGCTTCTTAATGCTGAGTAATATTCCATTGTCTGGATGTACCACAGTTTATTCATTCATCTGCTGAAGGACTTCTCAGTTGTTTCAAGTGTTGACAATTATGAATCAGGCTGCTATCAACACCTGTGTGCAGGTTTTTGTGTGGACATAAGTTTTCAACTTATTTTGGTAAATACCAAGGAGCACAATTGCTGGGTTGTATGATAAGCGTATATTTACTTTTGTAAGGAACCAACAAATTGTCTTCCACCTGGTCTATCATTTGACATTCCTATGAGCAATGACAGTTTCTGTTGGTCTGCATTCTCACTAGTTTTTAGTATTGTTAGTGTTTTGGATTTTGGCCATTCTAATAGGTCTATAGTGGTATCTCACTTTTGTTTTAAATTTAATTTCCTTGATGAGATAGGATGTAGAGTATTGTTTCAAATGCTTATTTGTTATGCGTATATTTTGTTTGGTGAGGTGTCTGTTCTGACATTTGGCCCAGTTTTTGAATGGGTTTTCTTATTGTTGTTGAGTTTTAAGGGTTCTTTGTATATCATTTTGCAAATATTTTCTCCTTACCAATGGCTTGTCTTATCATTCTCTTGAGAATTACCTACTTTATTTTGAATAACAAAGTATCACTCGGATGAGATAAATGTATGAAAAGCTTTTAATCAATGCCAGTTTTATATGCTTATCAATGTTACTTGATAGATTTGGCTTAAAAAATTTAAAGTAATTACATACATTTAGTAATTATTTCCACGAGTATGACAAATGTGACCAAGCCTTGTAATGATCACCTGTGAGCAGCATATGAGTGTCTATGTTGTGAAAATTACACATGTGTTCTTGTAGGATAAATGAGGCTAAAGACTGTCCCAACCCCATCCTATATAATAAAAGCGTAGTATGCAAATTGTCCCCTCGCCTGGGAGTTGTTCGAGAGTTCAACCAGAGGGTGGGGCTGGCCGGGAGAAGGGAGGGAGTACCTGGCCAGTAGCTGGCAACTGCTAGGGACCCTACAAGTGCATGAATTTTGTGCACTGGGCCTCTAGTGTTATATAAATGAGTACCTGGAGTTTGCATAAAATTTCCAGACTACATTACATATGGGATCAAAAGTGCTGTTTCTCACCCCTGAAGTGGTGGAACATTGTGTCATATTACTGGAAAAGTGGCTTAAGTGGCATGTTCTCATGACATGTTAAGGATAATAATGGTTATGTTTAAGTGGATTTTTTTTGGTTTGTTTCCAAATTCTTTTTATCGTTACCTCTTTGAGGTCATATCTTCTCTGCAGTTGCCTGATTTTGAAGGTATATGGTACATTCTAGGAATTTCTTCCTCACTATGTAATGGAACATTATGCATAGTGACTTCTTGTATGGGGAATTTTATCAGCTTGAGGGTAGACCAATTGACATTTGGAAAATTGATTGGAGAGGGACAACATTCAAAGCCCTCTTTTATACCTCTTTTTAAAAGTCTTATTTTGAAATTTTAATTTTTCTTCATTAAGGTAACCTTGAAGAATGCTAAAATTCAACAGTTTATTGTACTTTTGTTTTTGTACAGGATATTGTACCTGTAGATGCCTCTTATGAAGTAAAAGAACTGTATGTGCCAGAAAATAAACTTCATTTGGCAAAAACAGATGCAGAAACACTACCAGCATTGAAAATTAATAAAGTAAGTACTTTGTTACTTTTCATATCAAGTACTATGGCCTTAGGTACAGTTGGTAGTCTGTAAAATTTGTGGTTTTATAGTTGTGTTTGAGGGCATGGTTAGTTGTGGTGTGTATCACAATTTCCAGGATGGGAAATGTGCTGAATTTTAATTTGTAAAGCTATATCCCTAATTTATCATGGCTTTGATTTTTTTTTTAGTCATAATATTTATTTATTTTTAAATATCAAAGAACAAAGATTATATAAGATTTTTAGGCTTATCAGAACTGGGATCTAAAAGGTTAAGAAATATTAATCTGCAATAACTAATTGAAAGTTAATAATTAATTTAAAAAATGAACATTTTTTTCTTTAAACATGTTTCCCAATCCCCTGCCAAAACCCTGAGTCCCCCTTTCTTATATTATTAAGAATATTTCTGTTGTATATCTTAACTCTAATGATATCATTGGGTATTTTCCAAATAAAAAAACTGCTTAGTTAAACTAGATATGGTGACAATGGAAATTATAATTTACTAGAGGCCCAGTGCACGAATTTGTGCACGGGTAGGGTCCCTCGGCCTGGCCGGCGATTGAGGCCTATTGGAGGGCCAGCTGGCCGAGGGTGGGACCGTGGGAAGTTGGCTGGCTGGCGGGGAGGGGCCGCAGGAGGTTGGCTGGCAGGGGGGGAGGGGCTGCGGGAGGTTGGCTCGCGGGGGTGGGGGGTGGGGGGGGCTATGAGAGGTTGGCCGGCTTGAGGGGAGAGGGGCCGTGAGAGGTTGGCTGGCCGGGGAAGGGGCTGCAGGAGGTTGGCTGTGGGAGCACACTGACCACCAGGGAGCAGCTCCTGCATTGAGCACCTGCCCCCTGATGGTCAGTGTGCATCATAGGGACTGGTCGACCAGTCATTCTGGTCGTTTGGTCAGAATGGTCGCTTAGGCATATATATATATATATACACACACACACACACACACACACACACACACACATATATATATATATATACACACATACATATACACACACACACATATATATATTAGTTTCAAATTTTAGAGAATTTAAGTCTTATCATTAGGTATACTGTAAAAACAGATATTAAGGAATAAGAACCTGGACTAGAAGTAGAATTTCCCAGTCTTTTAGTATGGTAAAAATTCAACACACCCAGCGAAGTGGCAAATCTGAAAGTAAGGAGAAAGGAAAAACCAAACTTCTGAGCTTGGAGAAAGACTTTCCAAGTACATAGTTTTTCAAAACTCTGATAGGAGTAGATGATCCAATGTGCTTTGCATGATTGGGTCTCTGACCAGAAGCCAAGGCATGCTGGGAGTACAAACATTCAGAGTCGGAGAGCAGAGCCACTTGGGAAGCTGACAAAACCCACTGTAAAGGAACTGATAACTTTGCGTAGAATGAACACAGTCATGCACACACACACATACACACATGCACACAGAAGAATGACAGTGAATGAACATGAATCCAGGTCAGTCAAACTTGAGAACCCAGAAGGACAGTAACCTTTTCTAAATGTAAACTTTTCTTCAATACAGTGGTTTGTGCTCTGCACATCAGTATGAAAAGTAATTAATTAAAAACTCCATGCACAGTCAGATAGTGTATTAGCTTGGTCTGTCCTAACAAATACAATAGACTGAATCGCTTAAACAGCAGGACAGTTCAAGATCTAGGCACTGGCTGATTTGATTTCTGGTGAGGCTTTCTTCATGGCTCAAGGACAATAGCCTTCTCAACATATCTTCACAGGGTAGAGAGAGGGAACTCTGGTTTCCTCTTCTTATTAGGGCTGCTAACCTATTGGATTAAGACCCACCCTTATAACCTTATTTGGCCATTGTCACTACCTCACAGGCCCTATCTCCATGTCTACTCACATGGGGTGGAAGGGGGTTAGGGCTTTGACATGATTTTCAAGGGGGCACATTCAGTGCCTAATAGATACCTTCTAGAACTGGATTCTACTATAGACAAAGAGTGTCCTTGGTCAAAGGTGCAGGGAAAACTAATAAGACGAAAACTTGAAATTAATTTGGTGCATGAATATAATTTTCCCTTTGAATTGAAGAAGAGGAATTTGATTTTTCAGTGGGACACATTGGCCAACCTACTTTGGAAACAAATAGTAAGCAACATTTTACTTGGCCAGGTGCTTCATCTTTTCTCATTTGAGAACCACTGTTACATGTATACAGCACCAGTTAAAAAGGAGCATACCCAGCTTACTTTAATGATACAAAGATGATCATTTCTTTCTTTTTTTTAAAAATTTATTTTATTTTTGTACAGAAAGGAAGGGAGAGGGATAGAGAGTCAGAAACATCAATGAGAGAGAAACATTGATCAGCTGCCTCCTGCATACCCCCCACTGGGGATGTGTCCGCAACCAAGGTACATGCCCTTGACCGGAATCGAACCTGGGACCTTTCAGTCTGCAGGCCGACACTCTAGCCACTGAGCCAAACCAGTTAGGGCAAGATGATCATTTCTTTAACATTCTAATGGGATATTCTAGAAGTCTTTGTAAAATGAAGGGTGCTCTGTTAGTTTTCAGACGTCATTGTCAACATTTTCTGGGAAACTGTTAAAAATACAAATTCTAGGGCCCTACAGCAAACTGACTGAATTAGGGGGGTGGGGGCGGGAGTGGAGCTTTCTTCATATTAACAAGCCTCCCAGTATACATATTAATATTTGAGAGCCACTTTAGGAGATGCTTTCCTTATTGGAAATGCTTGCAAGTCTGATGTTATTTAAACTTACTCGGAAAAATGCGTATTTTTCTAGTGCCCTTAATTATTAGACTTGTATAATCCATAATCATTCTTGAGATGTTTTGTTTCCATCACTTTCAAAATTAAATTCCTAAAGGCCATTACTGCTTTTGTTCACAAGTACATGACATAGAAAATTTTCCTTTCTCATTTACTAGGTGGACATGCAGTGGGTGCAGGTTTTGGCAGAAGGTTGGGCCACCCCACTGAATGGCTTTATGCGAGAGAGGGAGTACTTGCAGTGTCTTCATTTTGATTGTCTTCTGGATGGTAAGACATTTGCCTTCTATAGTACATTGAGTGTGGAAGAGATATTGGACAGTTATAGGGATTCATCACTGTTTATAGGGAGTAGTGTTTTAATGAAGGTAGTGTTTTAAGGCTAAGTTATATCAGCACTAGACATTTAAGTGGATAGTGAGATCTGTTTTTCATTTTTGTTTCCCCGATTGTGATTTATTTCATGGGGAGAAGGAAAACCTGAGGATTAGGGATGAAAAGAATTTCAAAAGCAAATAGTTTCCCTGTTGCTATAGCCACCTGATCATTTTCATGTCCCTGAAAAGTGTTGTGCTACATGGAAGCCCGTGCTTACTTAAGCCAGGCCTTCTAGTAGGGAGCCAGGGAGTCCAAGTTTAGGAGTCCTGAAACAGGTGGTTGAAAGGATGGTTCTTCCTATTCTTTTAAAACACTCAAAAAAATTGCCAAAGAAATTGATGTTCAGTATATTGTAATTATAATTCAGCTACCTTAAACTCTGTATACTGTTGGTAAGATTAATTTGCTACCTCAAAGAAAATACTGTTGTTCCATGTCACAGAACCCTCCTCAATTGCTACCATGCCCTTCTGTATTATGACTTCTTTTAACTGGGGAATGAAACAGATATTAGAAAATGTAATTTCTGATCATTCTTCCAGAGAAATTTTATCACAGGCACATAAGGATTAAATATTGCTCTTCGATTTTCTTCCTTGGAACTAATAGTAAAGTCTTTATGGACTGTGTCTTGAGTATTGATTTAGTCTTGGGTTTCGTGCAACATTTTGCACTGTACCTGGTGGTGGTAATTTTAAAACAGCCAAGCAGTTATTAAAGGAGTCATGCCATGATTTCCCAGAAAAGTATGGTTTCTATTTGGTGTGTAAATAAGATCCACATAGGAATCTGAGAGTGCATTTTATTTTTCTAATCTGTGCATGATGAGTAGGAAAAAAACCGTTTAGAGCTTGAAAGGTTGGGAACTGAGAATGTGCCTTTGGTCTCAGTGGGACACATTTTGAGTTAAAAGGAGCACTGATTACCCACTGCCTTTGTGTCTTGGCCAGTGATAGCCGACATGGGTTCAATTCTGACTAAAAACCAAGTAACAAAAACCTTTTTGGGTGTTTTTGTCTTCCTCTCTCAAGGATACCCATGTATACTCAAGTATTCTTAACCAACTTGCCACTCAAAAGGTAGTTATCAGCACGGATTAACTTTCTTTTTAGAAAGGCCCTGAACCATGGTGCTTTATCTTATTCATATATTGGAGGTGTTCAGTATATTGTTGGTGATGTTAAACGTAACCAGCTGAGTTTTACTTGTTAAACAGTTTCTTTTACTTCAGTTATTCTATCCCATAGTTTTCCCCCAAAAGACAATTTCATGAATTGTTGTGAGTATTGCTACACACACTGTTGATTTTCTTAATTTTTGCTGGTTTTTTAGCCTCTGTTGCTTATTCTGTCTCCTGATTTTCTGTGCCAGGCATCAGTTCAACATTATTAGTGTCCACCGAAATGAGATGTGGACACGTGAGGCCTGTTGAGTAATCCAAGCTGTGTGTTCCTTTGTGCCCTGCAGGGGGTGTCATTAACTTGTCAGTGCCTATAGTTCTGTCAGCGACTCATGAAGATAAAGAGAGGCTGGATGGCTGTACGGCATTTGCTCTGATGTATGAGGGCCGCCGTGTGGCTATTCTTCGCAATCCAGAGTTTTTTGAGCACAGGAAGGAGGAGCGTTGTGCCCGACAGTGGGGAACGACATGCAAGAACCACCCCTACATCAAGGTCCTGTACAAACTTTGCTGCATTTTATCTTGATTTATTACAAATAATGTTTGTGCTGAAAATGTGGGCATTACCTGTATATTGGTGATTCCACTGAAATTGTTAATGTTTTGCAGAAGCGAGACTGGATCTTAGATTAGTGTGATGAGCATATGGTCTTGTCACTTGGTCCAGATAAATATTTGTTCAGTAACTATTTAAGCATCTACTGTACACGAAGCACCGAGCTAGATGCTGGTGCTGGACACGCAAGCACAGGCTGTACGCTCGGGGCTCCTAACTTTTGGTGGTGGAACAGACGTTAATCATGTACTTACAGGTAGGACGGGAGGTCAGGATGGTTTTGTCTTGTCTGGGTTTTTAATTGAACATTGTGTTTCCAGAATGGAAGCAGTGAAATATAATTAGTCTCCCCAAAGTGCCTTGTGTACTTTATATGTGAAATATTATCATTGAAGTAAAACCTCTGTTACTAGTTAGGTGTTTTAAAGTACACTTTGAGCATTAAAAAAAACGAAGTGAAATTGTAATAACTTTATCTAGAAAATTTCTGTAACATCTGTTTAGATATTGGAAATGTGCTAAATCTCATTTTATTGTCTCATGAAGGACAAAAAGTGGTAACTTTTTAAAAATGGGATATATTTTCTTAGAAAATAAGGAGGTTGAACTAGTGATGGTGTCAGTTATTCCTTCAAAATTAAATTTTACAGTTAATAGTAACAAGTAACATGGCTTACAAAACATGCTCTTGTAAATTCTTTGAGTCACATAGCAAACCTGTAGGACGGTGGCATGTCCTTTGGACATATGGACAAAGTGAGACTTATAGGGGATAAATGTCTCGACCAAAATTATGCAGGTAATAGGTGGGATGAGGGTCTGATTTTACTCTAGATCACTTTGGGCGTCAAAGCCATCTTCCATAATCATAGCAGATAGTGGTTATTGGTATGAGAGCTTCACATACTATGTAGCCTGTATCACTAGAGGGTACTTTTTTTTAATATCTCATTTTTTATTTTTTAAAAATATATTTTTATTGATTTCAGAGAGGAAGGGAGAGGGAGAGAGAGATAGAAACATCAATGATGAGAGAGAACCATTGATCAGTTGCTTCCTGCACGCCCCCTACTGGTGATGGAGCCCACAACCCAGGCATGTGCCCTTTACCAGAATCGAACCAGGGACCCTTCAGTCTGCAGGCTGTCACTCTATCCACAGAGCCAAACCAGCTAGGGCACTAGAGGGTACTTTTCATATGAATTTGATGAAGAGATATTTATTTATTTATTTATTTATTTATTTGTTAATCCTCACCTGAGGATACTTTGATTTTTAGAAAAAGTGGTAGGGAGGGGAGAGACAGACAGAGACACATCGATTGGTTGCCTCCTGCAAGGGCCCTGATAAGGGCCGGGATCGAGCCTGCAACTGAGGTATGTGTCCATGACCGGAATGCAACCTGGGACCCTTCAGTCCGATGCTGTATCCACTGAGCCAGACTAGGTAGAGTGACATTTATTTTTTAATCACTCAACAAATCTGAGTACTGTTTATATTTTGTACCATTTTTTAAGAGTGATCTGTAAGACTTCTTGGTATTAGTTGGCACCTGGTCTGCAGCCTTCAGGCCCTAGTAGGGTTTGGATAGGAGGGGCCTGTGAGAGCCGTGGCCCTCCAGGCTTGTGGAGCAGAGATTCAGTGTTTGAGAACTAGCTGGTGTCCAGTGGGAAAGAGGACCTTGGGAAGGTAGAGGGCTTACCATTCTACCCTAAACTGTTAAGACTTTGATCAGTCAAAATAACAATTTACATGTGGTTATGCTTCTCAAACCACATTCCTGTTTGTTGGTCCTTTCCGTGACCCTCGGAGGTAGACAGTGTTGTTCTTTATCCTGAAGAACCTTGGGGTGGGCTCCGCTTGCCCAGAGCTGCAGAGGCAGCAGTCCCAAGTCAGGGTTAGGTCAGTCCTGGGTCTTCTTTTTTTTTTTTTTTTTAATATATTTTATTGATTTTTTTACAGAGAGGAAGGGAGAGGGATAGAGAGTTAGAAACATCGATGAGAGAGAAACATCGATCAGCTGCCTCCTGCACACTCCCTACTGGGGATGTGCCCGCGACCAAGGTACATGCCCTTGACCAGAATCGAACCTGGGACCCTTGAGTCCGCAGGCTGACACTCTATCCACTGAGCCAAACCGGTTAGGGCAGTCCTGGGTTTTCTGTGTTCTTTCTACTACTCTGCATGCTTCCTACAAACGAAGAGGTCGCAGGCAGGTTTGGGCATGAAAGGATCACCAGGTAGTACTGTGAGGAACTCAGCCTGGCAGTCTTGTGCGGGATGTCCTGTCCCAGCTCCACTCCCACCGGTACCGCCCGAGTTATCCAGTTTCTAGGCCAGACTGGTGATAGTCACCTGGCTGGAGTCCTGCTTCCTCTCATACCCACTACCTTCTATCCTCCTCAAGCAGCCAGAGTGCGTCTTCTCAAAATGCAAATCCTTTAAAAGTCATCAGTAAACTGCTCCTTATAGTTAGAATAAAACCCAAGTGCCTGTGGCCTCGCATGACGCTCCTGATTTCTCTTACCTCTGCTCCTGTCCTTGGTTTCACCTTTTCTGACCTTCCAGCCATATTAACTTTCTTTCTGTTCCTCAGAGACAAAGCCTATTGCTGCTCCAGGACTTTGTACTTGCTATCCCTCTGCCTAAAATGCTTTCTCTTCATGGCTGTTTCCTTTTCATCTCAAGTTAAATGTCACTCTCCTCAGAGAAGCCTTCACTGCCTCCTTTTTCGCAGTTACTGTAGCTAAGGGCACTGGGTTCCATTGCCCTTCTTATTTTCTCTGTAACATTCAGTACCAGCTGATAATTATCTGGTCTCTCCTCTGTCTTCCCTACTGTGACATAAGCTCCATTGCAGGAAGATCTCTCTCTCTCTTTTCTGCTGTATTTCCCAATGCCTGGTAGAAGCCCTGGCACACACCAGCTACTCAGTAAATGTTTATTGAATGAGTGGTCTGATGGAAGGGGATGGACCTTCTGGTGAGGAAGACCAGGTAGGAAGCGACTACAGTCGTTCAGGTACATCGTTAGCACATAAACCACAGTCATGGGAGAAGGGCCAGCTTGAGCTGCTCTGGGAGAGGGGACCCGTCCTAGGAAATGGCATCTCCTCTTCCAGATGCAGGGACAGAGGACAAGAGAAGGTAAGAAATTTGAGGTGGTGTGGAGAGTGGAAGGCATGACTTGGTGCCCAACTCTGTCATCATTACTTTAATTGCTCAAAAGTTTAGGATTGGAGAGCACAAAATAGGGGTAATCCAGGGTTACAATTTTTTTTTAATCAACATACAACAACAATGAAAAGAATATTTTTATTACTTAAAAGTCATAATTATTCATGTTGGCTTTGTTTTTAAACTATGGGATAGTTGTTTCATAAGTCCTTTGAGAAATTATAGAATACTAGAGGCCCAGTGCATGAATTCATGCACGGGTTGGGTCCCTTGGGGGTGGCCTGCTGGGATCGGGCCCCAGCTTACATCCCCAGCCTCATAGCCTCACAGCCTCGCAGCCCTGCCTGGCACCCTTCCATGGTCTGGTGCTGCTCCCTCACCTGCTCCACCATCCCGCCTGTGGGGCGATCGATTGGGGCCAGGCCCCCTGCCTGGCTTCCTCAGCACCTAGGAGCCAGGCAGTGGCCTTGGCTCCCGTTAGCACTGACCTTGGCCTGGCGCCACCTGCTTACCTGCTCCACCATCCCACCGTGGTCCTGCTCTCATTGGGGCCCATCGGGGCTACAGCGCCTCCACTGCCACCCGCTGCCAGCGCTGCTTCGCCAAAGCCCATCATGTTCCACGCTGCCCCCTGGTGGTCAGCACACATCATAGTGAGCAGTCGAACTCCTGGTAGTACAATTTGCATATTAGGATTTTATTATATAGGCTACTCTAATTCTGTAGCATTTTCAATCCCAATTCAGTTGTTAAGCTAAATGGACTTACCATTGACCTTGAGATGAAAGTAAAAGTTTATAACCATAGTTATCTTGTATGAGAGAAATGTCCTTATTTTTATTTGGTTTTAATTTAAAACAATTATTTTCTGTTTCTTCCCATTAGATGGTGATGGAACAAGGAGATTGGCTGATTGGAGGAGATCTTCAAGTCTTGGACCGAATTTATTGGAATGATGGTCTTGATCAGTATCGTCTTACTCCTACTGAACTAAAGCAGAAGTTTAAAGATATGAATGCTGGTACGACATGGACCTTAATACCTAATATGGGGCTATTTGGGGGTTTTTGCTGGATGGGAAAAGTTTAGAAGATTTCCCCCCCAACATTTAATAACTAGAGGCCTGGTGCATGAATTTGTGCACAGGTGGGGTCCTTCGGCCTGGCCGGCGATCGGGGCCAATCGGGGCTGTGGGAGGTTGGTTGGTGGGGGGAGGGGCCATGGGAGGTTGGCTGTGGGAGTGCACTTACCACAAGGGGGCAGCTCCTGTGTTAAGCATCTGCCCCTTGGTGGTCAGTGAGCATCATTGCGACCGGTCATTCAGTCATTCGGTCACTTAGGCTTTTATATATATATAGATGTAACACAGAATGATGAGTAAAGGTAAGTGTAGCAGTTGGAATATGTAAGGAAAAATATCATTGGATCTAACATTATTTTGTATGCTAAGTGGAAGATGAATGCTAATAACAGATTGATCTTTTAATTGTTTATTTTGAAACTCTCCTGCTAAAGCTGAACAGAACTATGGAAGAGACATTTTTTGAAAAGCTCATTCATATCAATATGCTTTATATCTCAGAATGTCTTATATGAGTGGAATGTGTCACTGCAAAAAGTAATAGGAAAACAAAACTTTTATCATGTTCGTTATTCAGTCAACAAATGTTTGTTGTTTATCACCAAGTACTGAGATCCATAAATAAATGACAGGAGCTTACAGTGGAAAAGAGAGAGATATTAAACAAATAGCAGAAAGGTTGTTGAAGAGTAGATTAATAATGATTTTAAATTTCTGGATTAGGATGAAGTGGAGCAGTAAGAGCAGAGTGCCTATAGATTATATATTATAAAAACTCCCGGAGAGGCTTTTTTTATATCAGATACCTGCTGTTCATAGGTCTTTTACATAGAGGTAGGTAAATGGTGTGTTTACACTGGTGTGCCCATACTCTTTCTCTCCCTACACTCACAAGTCCACGGTGCCATGTGAGGCAAAAGCATTCATTGGAGTTGGGAGGCTTTTTTAAGATCTGAAGAATTTTGAAGCATCTTATAATCATGTTACTCATTAATTCTCACTCCACAGAAATGTTTAAGCCTTGAGCGTTAGTGCTGTTTTGTGTGTTTTAAAAAATATATATGTATATATTTTCTGTGTAGAAATCAGGCAGAGATGGCTGAGAAAAGTCAGGTGAACATGGTTGCTTTTTAAGGAAATAGCTGGCCACCAAGCTGTATTTGTTCTCTCCCAAGTGACTGTAGGAATCAGGTCAAGAACACCCATTTCATCAGTTGTGTTCAGCCTCTATGACTCCTAAATCCCAGCAAGTCATTTGGAGTCTTGTGTACAATGTCCCTGCTTCACCACCTAGTAGTTATGTGGTTGTGGGAAATTGCATTCTTTTTTGAGGCTCAGTTCCCTCAGTGGTAAAAGTAAGGACAATGATGATACTAATGCATAGGATTTTATTTTAAAAAGTGAAATGAGATAAGATGTCTAAGGCACTGTGAACAATGCCTGGCACATAGTAAGCGGTTAAGGTCATAATTGCTGTTATGTGAGTGATACTAGTGTTATCTATATTTGTGTAAAGATTAGAAAAAGAATAACTGTTTATTTTTAACCTTTACTGTACTTTGCTAATATTTGAAAATAAGATCAGGAACCGGAGGCCACACACACCCTCTTCAGAGCCCCACAGTTCCCACCCAGCCTGCCTCCTTCATCACATTGTAGGGCATTGAGTGTAGGATTGCTCACCCCAAGCCCTTCCAAACTTGATTCCCCCCCCCCTTTGGATTTGAAGTAATTATTTGGCTTAAACAACTTGTGCAGGAATGTCTCTGAAAGCTACACTTGCTGCTTGCCTGTACAACAGCTTATTTATCTTGTTTGTTGCTAACATTTTTTGGGCCCCGTCACAGGGAATATCTTTATGTAAGTCAGTGTTGGCACCTCACTCTCTTGTCAGTATGTGATTAAGGGTCAGTGTTTGAGTTCATTCTGCCCACTGAGAGGTGAGGTTTTCATTCCTGACAAGAAACTGGCTTACAACTGAGGTCATCTTCTCCCGTCCTTCTCTTCCCAGCAGGAGGTGCTTAGGTTGCTGCTGTGTGAAGGTGCACTGTCCGGAGCTCCGGCAGTCATTGTGCACTGCCGAGGATCTGTGGGAATCTTACAGTGTTTGAGTTTGTGATCCAACCCTGGACTCCTCTATCTCTGGATTTCTTACTCAAAGACCTAATGCATGTTTGAACTATTTCGGGCACTTCTAATTGGGTCTTATTTTATTTGCAACTAGAAGCATCTGATAGTTGTTGTTTTTTTAAATGTGCCTATTTTTCTCTCTTTTTTTTCTGGTGAATGGGGACATGTTAATGGAGGACTTGCTGAGACAACCTCATTTACTTTAATTTTTTGCCAAAACTTGAATTCATGTTTAAAATTCACGTTAGTAAATTAATTGTTGGCATGGTTGAAGAGTCTTATCAAGGAATTGTCATTCATAATTAGAGACTTTAATATGACATCTGTTTTACACTCTTTAGTGAGCCAAACATTTTAAATTAGAGAATTTATTGCATAATGAGCGATTGCAACTTTGTTTAGAGTAGCTAAGGGCCAGTTATTAGCCTTATATTCGACAGCAAAGATCGTGGAGTATTGGTTTGTTTACTCTTCCATTTTAGGACTAAGCAAATAAGCAACAGGCTGAGGCGATCCCTTTGTAGTTCTTGTTCACTGTTAGGAAACCAGTAATAAGTCATCTAATGCTGGGGAGGAAATGTAGTTCAAGGGAGAGAAAACAAGGAATATTTATTTTTTCTCTTACCTAGGGGTTTTTTCTTACCTCTCTCTTTCTCCTTGCCCAGTGTTAGAAGAACTTTGATCATCCCTTGTCCCTTGTGGGCTGTTGTCTTGTGCACATTGACATGACCGGTTTTGCTGTTCCGACCATCCTGTAGCTGGAAGGGTTGAGAGGTCTTTAACACCCACACAGTGGTTGCAAGGTGACATGATTCCAGATGGCAGGTTCTTTGAACCACTGGTGCTTGATCTCTATCTTGGAAAGAAAGAATGACTTTCACTAAAGCCAAGTAAGAGCCAGTTAGTATTTATTACACACAGAACACTGGTGTCCTGCCAGGTTGCAAAGGAAAAAGTTGACATAATTTCCTTCAGGCTAGTATGTGGTAGCCCAGGGCTGAATAAATCTAAGAAAGCTTAGAGCTGTTGAACTACAAAGTCTATTTTACATGAACGGGTGGAGACACTAGATTGATATCTTAGGCCACGTTGGGAATGATGAGTGAGAGCCGAGGCTGAGCAGGTGGTCTGTCTATGAGGGCACTAGGCTTTCTTGACCTTGAATGGCAGTGAGCTGGAGAGAGTGTGGCCTCGGGTGGGGTGAGGAGAGACTCAGTCAAGGCAGAGCACACTCAGAGGAGGCTCTGAACATAATTTAACAAAGTGAGTGTTTAGAGAAGGATGGTCAGAGTTAAGGGAACTCACAGGAATGTTTTCGCACCCAGGGAACACAGGTTAGGGTAGTGTTACCACTCCTGAGAGGGCACGGGAAGGAAACTGTTTCTGAAGCCTGGTAAGAGGAGCTGTAGCTATGAGGAGGGGCTGTGGCCAGAAGCTAGTTGTAGGGGATGTAGGCACAGCTGGAATCACAGTGCTGAGGCAGGGTGCTAATGGTGCAAGAGCTCCTGCAAAGTTTGTCTCCCTCCATCTTCTGGTTGCCTGCTAAAGTTTCTCATCTTGGAGGCGTGCGCACACATGCACACGTATGTACACATACACACACGCACAGGCATGCACACAAAATGCACACGCAAGCACAGGACAGAGAATTGATGGAAAGCAGCACAGAGCCCAGTTGGCAAAAAGCCTTATATCCCACATTGATTTTTATTTTAATTTGAAAATATTTCTAGTCTTAAGAATGAAAAACATTTTATGGCTGCATATTTTTGGATGTAAGAGTACCTGTTTGTGAAGAATTCTAATTAATATGTTTATATTTACTCAAGTGGCCTATGTCTTACTGATCCCCCCCCACCCCAAGAAGCAGTTTAAGTAAAAGAAATACTAGTAATTTATGACAGTCCAGAGAGACAGTGAGATCAAAGCCTTCTTTCAAATTCTCTTAAAAACTTCCACAAAAACACACATTAAATATCATGTGCACGCACACGCACACCACACACACACACACACACACACACACACACACACACACACCCCTCTCTAACAACTTGACAATTACCATCAATACTCTTGTTTAGCTACTTTATTGATTCAGGGAAAGCAGAAGTGCCTGTTTTGAGAGCTTTGGGGTAGATAATGTGGTAGACATTAAAGCTTGAGTAGGACTGGGAGAGGAAACTTATTAATTACGGCTGTTTGTAGGACAATTTCGCACAGAAGTTGAAAGCGGGGAACAGGAAGATGTTGTAATTCTGGGCTTAGTGGTTGGGATGCATACCAGGGCTCTGGCTGGGGAAGCACAGTTCTGAGGAATTGGGGGGAAGGGTGACGAGGAGCTAGATACAGCCGTGGGCAAACTACGGCCTGCGGGCCGGATCCAGCCCGTTTGAAATGAATAAAACTAAAAAAAAAAAAGACCGTACCCTTTTATGTAATGATGTTTACTTTGAATTTATATTAGTTCACACAAACACTCCATTCATGCTTTTGTTCCGGCCCTCTGGTCCAGTTTAAGAACCCATTGTGGCCCTCGAGTCAAAAAGTTTGCCCACCCCTGACTGAAGCACCTTCTTGCTCATCACCTTATTTGTTGCTCAGAACAGTCCCGCTTGGAGCACTGAAGCTGTCCATGGGCAGGCACTCAGCTGAGAAATTGCAGAGCTGGAGTCCGACCCGGGTTCTTTGCACGGTGCCCCAGGGTCTGATGCCACGGTGTTTGACGACGCGACCCGTGCGCCCTCACTCTCCAGGGAGTCAGTGCTCACCCTCTTCCCACCGTCAGGAAATGCTCGCGGCCACACATC